TATGGAGACAATTGTAGATAATAATCGAATTTTTTTAAGCAAACGCAGAGGACTAAATAGCTAATCCCTAACTCAATTGTCCATAGCTTCTCATCACGGACTTGCATGACCACAAGCAATCATGGATTGATTCTATAGTCAGCATCTGCAATTGGCCAATCCGGACTATATTAGGTAGAAAGGGGTGGGGTGCAGTGCCAGCCCTGAGAGGAAGCTGGAACATATACATGAACATGCCCTTTGCCACTGTAGATCATCGGCCTATATTCCCACAGGGCAAAAAAAATTCCCATTTGAAGATCACTGCCTATATTCCCAACCTATGTAAGAATTCATTTTCACCATAGGCAGCTGCACCAAGCATCAGGTTAAAAACATTAGCTTCCAGACCTGACCGACGAAGTGCGCCGCGGCTGCTGCAAATGGAAAATGAGAGGCGTCGTGCCGCCGGCTGGGCTCGACGGCTGATCCCTCCCGTCCCAACACAGCGCCGGACGCGGCGGCGGCGTTCCCTGCCACTGCCGACGCAGCACGAGGCGCGGCTCGTGCAGCAATGGCAGCTAGGGTTTCGTGGAGAACAGGAGCAGAGCCGGACCGACGGGAGGAGGCGGCGCGGGGTGGGAGGAACGCCGGCGGCCACCAGCGAGGCACGCTCGCGCGACGCCGTGCCGCAGGCCGACGGCGCCGTCTCGCCCCACTAGCGCCTTGCGCGGTGAGCCGGCGGCGCGGGCCTGGCCGGAATGCCGCGACGCGAGGGAGGGGAGGAGGAGGAGGAGGAAGAAGAGGAGGGAGGTCGCACCGGCCACGGCCCGCTCGCGCCAGCCGCCGTCGCCTCGTCCGCGCCCGCCACCGAGGGCCACCGCGCCGGGGTTGCCGCGGCCAGGTGCCGCCGCGCCGGGGGAGGGGGGCGCCGGGGCTGCCGCGCCGGGGAGCGCCCGCGCCGGGCCGCCGCCGCCAAGGGCCGTCGCCTCATCCGCATCGGGAGGGAGAGGGAGAGGGAGAGAGAGATCGAGCGAAGAGAGAGACGAAGGGTGGAGAAGAATCTGGAAGGAGAAGCGGAAGCTAGATATATATTTGGTTCTCTAGATTCGGACGTGAAGCCGGAGAAGCCGGTTAAAAAGAAGAGGAGAAGCAGGAGAAGCCAAAGAGAAGTAGGAGAAGGGGTTCGTGGCAAGAATCAGCTAAAAGCGATCTTAGCTGTTGGATCCAAGATCGGACGGATGAGAGAATTTGGGGTGACGTGGACGGTGGTTCTCTGGAGGAGCCCTACGGGTATTCTAGGGAGACTAGTTTTTCGGGCGCGGCCATGCACGCGGTTCACTGGTCACACATATTTTTTTGAGAAAAAAAAGAGATATAATTAAAGTTGGGCTGTATTTTGATTTGAGAAAAATCTGAGGATGTTTTCGCAAAAAACGGTGAGAGTGCCTGGGGAGCGCGAGTTGATTTTCGATAAAGTTGAGGTCTTTTTGCAAACAAACCAAAGCCCATCCGGGCCTCTGAGAAAGCGTTGATTTGGAAATAATACTGAGGCGTTTTTGTAAAAATTCGAGAGGACGTCTGAGCGCGGGTTGATTTCTCGAAAACTTAAAGGGTTTTTTCGTAAAAGCGACCACTGGCTCGTCTCGATCTGAAGCCGTCATGCTGGATCGATCGAATCCGCCGCCGGCGCCGACGGCGTACCACCCTAAGGTCAGCACCAGTACACACACCAAATCATATCTTTAGATTGTCAGTCTCATCCAGAGTAACCGGACTATCAGAACTTGTAAGAATGTTCGATACCATATCGTCATGGATCGTATGCTGCAGTTTACTATTTTAGAGGGTTCCAACGCTTTTACCTATCAAAATTTAAAATTTACTATATGTGTGCTAAAAGAGAAGGCTCCCCTCCTATGTTTTTTTAAAGTATACACCATTATAGTTCTATTAACTAAAAAAATATTACTACCCACCTTTTGACTTTTCTATATACAATAATTTTTCTATGCATCTAACAATAGTATATATCTAAATACATGGCGAAAGCTATGCATATACAAAAGCCAAAACGTCTTATAATTTGGAATAGAGAAGCATCTTATTATTTGAGAAATACAAATTATCAATCGGATAGAAATTAGCACACTAATTGGTAAAAATAAAATCACACATTTATATAGTGATAAATTATCCACAATTGCCAATATGTTTGTTTGCTTATTGCCTACACATGCTATTATATTAAAGAATTACATGTTGTTACCATTACCTTAATTTTAATCCAAAAATATGGTTATACACATTTTCGTATTACTTACATAGGCCACTATTCAACAAATTGAAACCAACTATCTTCATTTCAACCCCACGTGAATTTAAGAGATTTAAGTTGACATAAAAAAGATTCAGAGTTGCAATGCAGATTATTTATCGATGTCAAATGTAGCAGAAAGAATATATAGTTCAATATTAGAGTTTACAAAGTAAACAAAGGGGGAAAATAGCTTCTTGACATTGGTTAAGTGATTGAATCTATGCCATGGAACACATCCAAATTCAGAATTGCAATTTAAAAAAGGTTTTACATAAAGGGGGTTGGGGGGGGGGGGGTTAAGCCATTCAATGGTGGCCTAGTGCAAAGTGGCAGCTAGTTCATTTAGTGGCTTTATAAGAAAATGGAAACATTCAATTAATTATGCAGAGAAACATGAACTAAGGAACTTTCATTACACAAAACTCAAATGCATGTCCAGGCCTCTAGGAGAACATGTCTTCAGGTCCATTACTTTGCAATCATTCAATCAATCAACATACTCATGAGTACCAAACATTTTCATTCAATGTCTACAGTCAAGAATTCAACAGATATTTAATGGTTCATTATATTATTCATTGAACTAAAGAGCACAAAAGATGAATATTTGCCATGGTTAAGATTACTCGCCACTAAAAGAAATTCGTGACTAAGCCAAATATCAGTCTTTAGCGAAGGTAGAGTGTTTTAGTTGCAATAACTGAACATCTGATAATGTTATAGCGTAGGCCCTCCTGAAAATGCTAGAGCAGTGTTATAACGAGTCATTTAGAACCTTAAATTTAAATAGTATGTTAATATAGAAGTGGATCTGTAGAAGTGTTTTAAAATGGAAATAAAACAAAAGATAACACCTGGCACACGAATTTGACCAATATACATTCTTGGAAAATTACAAGAATCCCAAATATAATGAATACCAAGCAATATAAGTTGTTATCACTTCCTTCCAAATGATGTAGCTGATTTATATATTTGATGCCTGCTCTACAATAGCGAAAAAAATGTGACAAGATTATGTATCCAATTGAGAATGACTAAGACACGTGCAACTAAAAAAAGAAGCAGCTATATTCATATCACCATTGGCTTCTATATACCCTTAGCTTGAGGTCATAATTACCGACAAATACACAACTACGTAGAGGTGAAAGGAACATCAACAGAGCTATTAATGTGCAAAGTGTGATATATGAGTGAATGGTCAAATGATTGACTTGTTATATGTCAGCAACTTTTTTTACTGGCATGGTAACTACCCCGTCAGAATGTCAAATGGTTGACTTGTTATACTCCCTCTATCCCGATATGTACGTCGTTTTGGCTTTGAACCAAGTGCAGCAAAGATTCTCCGGACCTGGTCATTGGGTGTGCACAAATGCATGAAACATTGTGTAAATCTAGACATCCAAGTGAACTGCTAAAATGACAGACATAGGGGGACAGAGGGAGTATGTCAGTAACATTTCAGTCCTTGATTTTTTTTACGTCAAAATTGCTTTGGAATTGGCTCCATTTAGATGTAGGTCTGTATAAAAAATAGAAAGTGCTTCCTTTCCGCTTTCTAATACTTGACACTTATAGCTAAGGACATGCAAACCAATGTATACATTTGTCTTATTTGAAATTACCATAATGCCCTTTTATCTTGTTATCGCTACATGTGAGAACCTTTAATATTCACAAATGAATAAGGGTTATGGAAGCTCTAGAAATTTCTAATAACCAAACAGATGCTTACTTTTCACATGGCCCGACAAAGGAAAAATTGGAGAATTGAAGTTTGGCGACAAGTTTATTATCAAACAAAACCGTGAATGTGGGTGTCAAGAATTTGAAAACGGAGGAAAGTATTATTGGTGGCTTAACGCACTGACCTTTTTTACATAACGAAGAACGTAACGCCAGATGAAGAGATCCCATAGCTTTGCTGAAGAAAGGAGCACTGAATTTATGGAGGTCAATACCAGGTTTGAACCTCAGCAAGCGTCTTGTCAACTAGAGGCGCCGACTATTGTTTGGTTCTCAGCTAGTATTAAACATTTTATTGTTTTGCTACTTCATGTGCTCGGACAGCAAAAGCGCGAACGATTCGTAGTCCCTGACAGGCAGGTCAGGCCGGGTGAAAATACCAACATATAGGCGCTTAGCTTTACCACACGCGCAAGGTGGCACAGCGCTGCAGCAGCACTTGTCCAAATCATGCTCCTATAGCTGAACGCTATTCTCGACTCTCGACTGAAACGCCATATGCACAGCGCCTGCACCTCTTACGTACGTGTTCACTTCAGCTTAATCAAGGAAAGCCTTATTTATACTGAACAATAGAACAACATCGGACGTGGGACTTGAACATCGGTCGTTTGTAGATTTGACACTGGATCCATATTCATAAACATAGATGGACCCACTTGTTATCCACCCGAGTGTTATCATAATCAAGAGTCAATCTTTCTAGTGTCATTTTTGCAATTTTTTCGGACGGCTGCATGTATTGACATTTACAACCAGATGCGTTTATTGCACAGAAGTTACTAGAAATCTAGAATATGTGGACAAAACAACAGAGCCAGCGGGAACAGCCATATGAATAGCTATCTACAGGCTGACCAAATAGTCCAGGGTTCCAGGCCTGACTGGACATGCAACAGCAGGCTATACCTATATGGCTATATGCTTGCAATCGATTGTTTGATTCCGGTTATGCGATGGTTGCCCAGTGGAACAATGCATTGTTGGAATGCACTGCAATGCTTCGATGAAGCTTCAGAAGGACAGACAAAATCGTTAACCATCTTCATTTCTGCAAACAGAAATATCATATAGGTTGGCGAGTCCTAGAATGTTTTATTCCTATAGAGAAGAAACTACTACCTAAATTGAGAAATGGCACTATTTAGAGCTGTACAGTGAGCAATTGTAACTGCATGATAAACACATCTGAATCTACTGCAGCTCCAAACAATGTATGCCAGTGGCTACCTTTTTGGTTCAGTAAAATTAACTTATTACGGTGATGAGGGGAGGAATACAATAGTTCTACAGGAAGTCAGATGCTAACAGGGGTGAATTGTGACATACCGAGGCATCACTGTCGAAGTGGTGAAGGAAACCGCCATGGCCAATGGCGTTTGTAAACTTGTACACAGGTCCAAAAGCTGATGAGAGAATTGTGTAAGTCATAAGGAGATTTTCTAAACATAAGAATAGAGCAATATTGCAGCTGAAAACATCCTAGTGTAAGCATCGTAGCCATGAAATTTTCACAACATCAAGTAGTGTCCTCATGAGAAACTGAGATAATGAAAGGTTGGGTTCAGCAAATTGAATCAGATCTGCTTGTATTTTTGACCTGCTTTATTAATAGTAGGGAAAATTGGTTTCATAGCATCGAAAGATCACGACATTTGGAAAATACCATAGAAAGACATCCGTTACGTAAAATACCACCGAAAGAATGGACTGTTACCTTCGAATAGCATTCCGTCACGGTGGCCGCTTTTGCCGTGAATTCCTCCGTTGAGGCACATTTGTTCCCCCATTTCAGAGAAACAGAGCACACACGCCGGCGTACGGGCACAGCCCGATTCGCCCTGGAGAGGGCACAGCGGCCGTGGATCAGACGAGACGGCGGCCTTCGCGGTGGCTGGCCACACCTATCGATGTCAGTGGCGTGGCCTGATATGGCTCATAGGAGCATGGCCCTGCGTGCCCGCGAGGCATGCAACACGGGAGACGGCGGCGGCATGCAGCAATGGCGAACCCGGTGACTACAAGGTCGGCGTGGGTACACGTCAGGTGTGTGGGGGTGCTAGAGGGGCTGTTCTGGGCATGGCTTGTGCGGGGTCGAGTAAGAGCGATGGGGCGGCTCACCATGCGGAAAAACACAAGCGTCTACAGCTGGCGTCGAGCAGGACGGAGGCGGCACGCGAAGCAGGGCTGCCGGCGGAGTTTCGGCCGAAGGAGGTGCACGCGGTGGTGGTGGACGCGGCAGTGTAGCTGGCTTGGTGCAGGCGCTCCGATTGGAGCTGTCCGCGGGAGTTCCCCGCGCGGCGGCCATGGCGAGCAGCAGGAACAACGCACCTAGCGGCGGCAGGATCCAGCATCCCAGAGCGGATTTGCCCAGTTCAGGTGAGCCGCGGTCGGAAGAAGTCCGAACGGACGTGGTGGTACGCTCGGCCGAGGCGCTAGTGGTCTGCACCCATGGGAACAGCGACGGCGGACCGAGAGCCAGCCATGGCGGCAGACAGCAGCAGGTTTGGCGACATGGCGTGGCTCCGGCCCGAGTTGTTTGCTATCGTGCGCAGGGGTGAGAACATGCTGCTCAGCAGTGGTACGGTGGGGCCAACGGTGGGGAACGGTGGTGGTGAGAGCTGAGAGTAGATCGGCGGCTCCGAGCTTGGCGTCCAGGCACAGGCACATGCGAGTGGACCAGGCACAGGTAGCCGTCGTCCTAGGTCCCAGCCATCGCGAGTACTCCTATATGCATGCACGCAAACTCGATTGCTCTTGCATACGCCGTGAGCTCATTGATAGATGATTCATGCACGTGACGCGACGATCGCACAGACACCGGGTCTCCCCGCAAAGGTCCACGGAGGTGAGAGCGTGAGGGCACCGCGCGCGCCGCCGTGCGTCGCGAACTCTAGCGCGCGACCGGTGCAAAATAAGGTAAGCCACGCCGGCGTAGGGCATGTGTCACTGCCTATCAGCGTGTCCATGCCCAACCAGGCAGCTGGGTTGAGAAAGAAAGGTGTCTCGACGAAGGAATTCACGGCAACAGCAGCCACCGTGACAGAATGCTATTTGAAGTAACAGCTCGTTCTTTCGGTGGTATTTTACGTGACGGACGTCTTTTGATGGTATTTTTCGAATGTCGTGATCTTTGGATGCTATGAAACCAATTTTCCCTTAATAGTAACATATAGGCACTGTCTAATTGTCTAGTGCCCATTCCCTGTATGCAGGTTGCTACATAACTTGACAAGCAGTGTTCAAAGTGTTGCTGTGTCAAATCTAGATTCTGAGGTGTTTGGGTTTATTATTCAACAATGTGGGCTTTAGGTTTATTCGTTTGGTAAAAAAAAAGCAAGTCGAGTCAGGGAAGAACACATCAACAACAAAACATGCAGAAACGAAAGCATTACCAAATCTATTTTGACCTGAAAGCATCATTGGATCTACAACTTCTTTATACTACTATTTTGGGGGTGAACAGGCACCTATAGCAACAGTAATCGATACCTTTACACAAAGGAACACAACAAACATTTTGTGTAAGATTACCTTCATAGCCACCATACACAGGATCTTCAGAGAGTAAAACAGGTGTGTCCAGGTCAACGAAACTGCAACCATAAGTTTAAGAAACAACTTTACCAGCTGATTTGACAAGTATAAGGTACGGAACATGGTAACATCTGTGTACAGTTTGTGGTTTCAGGCTTTCAGCATCCTGGTAACAATGCCTCTTGCTGATAAAAAAGATAATTTGATAATTTCCACAGCAAACAGACCTAAAGCATCCAAGCCCAGCAGCTAAATGACCAGCAAAGCCCAAAGCAATCCTAGTCTCAACCATGCCACCAATCATCAGAGCAATATTGGCTTTTCTTGCAGCATCAATTATTTCAAGGGCCCCAAGAACCCCCAACTTTGTGAGCTTGATGTTAATAACATGGGCAAGATTCCCATTTATTATTTTCTGAGCATCAAGTAAACTCCGACAGCTTTCATCAGCAGCAACAGCGACTTTGTATTTCTCCATGGCCACAGAGCTAACATCTCAGAGACCGTCCCAATCATCTCTGTGAACTGGTTGCTCAAAGAGCACAGGGGTCACTCCCATTTCTGAAAACAATGGAATAATAGTAGCATATTAACTTAGTTCAACCACAGTAAGAAGATCGTACAGTTCAGATGACAAATAGCAAATAGGTTCAACATATTGAAACAACTTTAAAATGAGAACTCTAGCAATTTACAGTTTGCAGGAGTACGGACCATTTAGTCTATCAAGAACTTCAATTGCTTGATTTGCTGTGTATCCCTCATTTGCATCCAAAATAAATGAGCAATCTGGATGGACAAGTCGTATAGCTTTCAGAACTTCTATACCTGAATTCAAGTTCTTCCCAACCTTGAGCTTGAGAGTTTGAAACCCTTGTCCACGATATTTTGCAGCCAATTGAGCAGCTTCATTTGGGGTCACAATTGGAATCTAAATTGGGAAACATCAGGATAAATTTTGGTTATGGTATTTAAAAGCTTTCAGGAGTCTGTGCAGTGAGGTAACCATACCGTGATGTCAGTTGTCACACTATCTGATGCTCCTCCGAATAATCTCCATAGGGGTATGCGAATGCTATTAGCAACAGCATCAATCAGCGCCATCTCCACTCCTGCTCTGGCCTTAAATGGAAAAGGATACAATCAAATACAACCATAGGACTAACCATTAATAAGTCTAAACAGAAATCAAACAATTGAGTAACCATCAAGAAAATCAGAATCATAAGATGAGAAACTATGTCAGTTCCTTATGTCTGCATCTCATCAATTTTCAAGAAAAAAACTGGAACACCTCCATATGTGCTAGTATTTGTTAAAGGAATCTGAATGACTGTATAGGCGGTTGTAGGCTTGTCGCCAAACTCTGTATTGGTTCTGAAGAAGCATGGGCAGTGAGCCTTGAAAAGGCCTATTGGAAGACTCAGGCCTATGGACTAGAAGAGTATGAATAGGTGGTGTGGTCCAGCAAATCACTTCAGTAGTTCAGCGCCCGAAAGCCATCATCTACATCATTTCTAGACATTAAACTGCATTGAACCATAATATCGGGTACGGCACGTTCGACAAATTCACATTTGCAAACAACCTAGACTTCTCAACTCGAATCACGTTCATATCTTCCCTACGATCAAACACTTGTCAACCCACCACAGTAACGGAAGGCAAATTTTACTCGGTGAGTCGGACGAGAAGCTGCGGATTCCTCACCGAGGCGAAGGCGTGTCCCGGGAGCACACTGGCGACGTCCTGGAGCAGCGCGCCGAGGAGCGCCGCGGGGGCGCCCGCGAGCGCGGCGCACGCCCGTCCGGCGGCGTGGAGCGCCGCGGGCTGGTCCTCGGCGGTGACGGAGGGCAGCACGGGCGCCTCCCCCCACCCGACGGCGCCGCTGCGGAGCTCCACGCGCACGGCGACGTTGTTCACCGCGACGAGGCGCGAGGACGCGATGGTGAAGGGCGCGGCGAGCGGGACGTCCACGTCCACGTTGAAGGTCTCCTTGAGCGCGTCGAAGCCGAACGACTCCACGGGGGTGGGCAGCGGGGACGGGGACGGGGACGGCGAGATGGCGCCGAGGGAGGTGGTGGTGGCGGCGTATGGTGATGGAGACCGACATGTGGGCCTGGGCGTCGCCGTGGCGTGGATTCCAGATTCCACGACGCTGATACGTTGGCACCGATCGGGTGGCAGTGGAACCTCGGCGCAGATCATCCCTTGCCCGGGTTGGTCGTTGCCCATGGTGGTTCGTCGTGGAGCGGAAGGACACATTAAGTAGCTACAGACATGAGACATCCCGTTCGCCGTTCGGGACTCTGCTTCTTTACACCCCATCAGTGATCAGTCCATCATGGCCAATCCGAACACGTCGATGACAAGCGGGCCCTTTACCCCGGGGCTGTGAACTCCGTTGCTTTTCCCTGACGGCTACCGGTACCGCCCCTCACTGCTCTGCTGCTGGCTAGTGAGGAAAAATAAAAAGGACCAGCACTCTTTTGAATGATGTGGAGAAGTCTCCGTCAACTGAACAGAGGAATTGTCGGTGCGAAAAGTCATAACAAATAAATATTTATAATTTTGTCGTGCGTTGTGATCGGATGTGGCCTAACACTCAATGACACAGGATTTATACTGGTTCAGGCAACGTGTCATACGTCCAGTTGCAGTCGGTCGGTGGTTTTATTCCTGAGCCCAGTTATTCAAAGTTTGTTGTTAAGTTACAAACAGATAGGAATAAGAAGTGGGTGTTAGAGGCCTGGTCGAACTCTAAACCAAACGGTCAGAGTGACGGGTGTCCGAATCGTCTAGTTGCACTTTTCGGAGGAAAGCCAGAGAAAACAACGTCCTCTAGAGAGGAGAGAGCATCCCCTTTTATAGTTGAAGGGGATGGCCTCACAAGTTAGAGAAATAGAGAATGGATACGTGTGCTACCTAGTCTTGTTGCCCACGCTGTCGGGTACGAGACGGTCGTCGGTGCCCACAATACTGTTTATGACAGACACATGTGGCAGGCTCTACCGTGTTTGCCCGGTACGGCAAACGTCGGCGCCTACAATACTGTTCGTGCTCTGACACGCCCAGAAGGTTGCATAGTACCCGTCTGGCATGGCCTGGTGGCACCGTCCTGCAGGTGTGTAGGGTATGGCAGGGTACGGTTCTCGGTATTGTGGTTGACTTGAGTGCCTTACCTTATCTCCTTCGCCTGATCCTTAGGTCCTCACTGAGCGGGTGTTCCCGGTCGGTCCTTCCCAGTCGGCTCCGACCGTGTCGGTCGGGGAAGAATCACGAGCGGAGGTCCGGCGTATCTCCGGTTGGAAAAGGAGGTCGGAGTCGGACTGTACCCCCCACCTTATCCAGGTCTTCCGGTCGGGGACCGGATCGTTGTCCCGGCCTGTCATTATGTAACTGGGCCGACCTAGGAAGCGCGCGTTGTTGCTACGTCGTCCTGCTGGGCCGAGTTTTTGTAGAGAAGCGGGTCAATTGGGGACCCTAGGTTTATGAACCCGACCGGAGCCCCCGAGCCCTTTTGGGACTTCTGTGAAGTCGTGAAGGGGCTATTTATACTCGTTTTGCGAGCACACCCGGTGGGTGTAAGATTATAGGTCGCTATCGGACGAGACGGCACGCGGACCCAAGGCGTCGGGCGCGGCGGAGTCTGAAGCGGGTGCCAACCCAAGCGTCGGGAGCTGCCGAGGGGATGGGCGAGGCGGAGTCGCCAACCCAAGTTTCGGGCGCGGCCGAATTTTTTATTTTTTAGCCCTTTTTTGAAAAATATTCACAAATAGACCCCTGATGGTTTAATTTTTGTTTATGGACCCTGACCTCGGCGTCATGGCTTTTGGCGCCGAGGAAACACATCTCGACGCCATGGACAATGGCACCGAGGTCTTGGTGAGGCGTCGGACGTGGCGGTGACCTGACGTCGACGTAGACAAGGCCTCGGCGCCATAGATCTTGGCGCTGAGCTGTTACCCTATAGATCTTCCCATTTAAAATAAAACAAGTATAATTGTTCCGAGAAACATGCAACAACGCCATTGCGGTTCAGCTGGTTAGGACACGCGCGACTTAGCTCAAAGGGCTGGGTTCGAAACCCAGCGCTAAATCTTTTTTTACTACATTTTTATAAGCAATAGAACAAGAAAAATTATTTTGAGAAACATGTAATGATCCCATTGTGGTCCAGTTGGTTTGGATGCACGGGTCTCAGCCCACAGACCTAGGCTCAAACCCAAACAACAAATATTTTTGTTAAATTTTTATTTTATAAGTAATTACAACAAGAAATATTATTCCTTTATTATTAGCATCCTAGGTTTCACTACACACTGTATATTATTGTTCCATTGTTCCACCGTACACTGTATATTTAATTTATTTTTTATTTGATTTTGAAACATTACGTACCTTGATCAAGTTGAGTTGAGTGACGTGTTTATATATATCTTGTTGCTTGGCCGTCCTTTTACTTACATGCATATGCTTTTGTCATCATATATAAGGCTCCCGAGACAAGGAGTAAATAAATAAAAGAAATTATTTTACATTAAGTAAGTGTAATTTTCTTTGCCTCCCTATTTCAGTGTTGAGCTCTTTAATTTGTATACCTCCCTATTTTACATGAAATAGAATTAACAAGAAGAATGGGCTTAATGCATTAACTAAGAGCTCCATATTATCATCATTTGGACGGTTCAACTAAGTTTGGTGAGGAACGGAGGAGGATCTCCCCCTCGTAAGAAAAACACTACTAACGAGGTATATAAACTAATAAATAAATAAATACATCCATGATTATGATAACATAAGGAGGATTTGGATTTAGATAATATATAAATAAATGCACCTTGAGATGTATCCTTCATCCAAAACAAATTATAAATTAATGAACAGTGTTCTCTCATGTTAATAATAACGAAGTTTGGTGGAACCTAGGACATTAGTAATAACTAAGTAAGCAAAAAAATCATTAATAAACGCAACAAACATAATTTGCCTGCTGGATTTGAACCTAGGTCTCATGTTAGAGCCAAGCATCCTAACCAACTAGACTACAACTGAGATATAGCATGTTTCTCGAAATAATTTTTCTTGTTCTATTGCTTATAAAAATGTAGCAAAAAAGATTCAGCGCTGGGGTTCGAGGGTTCGAACCCAGACCTTTGAGCTAAGTCGCGCGCGTCCTAACCAGCTGAACCGCAATTACGTTGTTGCATGTTCTTCGGAACAATTATACTTGTTTCATTTCAAATGTCAAGATCTATAGGGTAACAGATCGGTGCCAAGATCTACGACGCTGAGTTTGGCGCCAAGATCTATGGCGCCAAGGCCTTGTCCACATCGGCGCCAGGTCACCGCCACGTCCGACGCCTCGCCAAGACCTTGGCGCCATTGGCTATGACGCCGAGACATGTTTCCTCGGTGAAAGCTCTAATTTGGTTTTGGTTAATTGATGAAACCCTAAGTGCTAACCCATTCTATCAAAGTGATTATGAGACAGGTAGCACTACTCCAAGTGATGAAGCAATGGTGAAGATCATGATGATGGTGATAGCATGATGATGATCAAATGCTTGAACTTTGAAAAGAAGAAAGAGAAAAACAAAAGGCTCAAGGCAAAGGTATAAATAGTATGAGCCATTTTATTTTAGTGATCAAAACACTTAGTGAGTGTGATCACATTTAGGATTGATAGCCGTACTATTAAGAGGGGTGAAACTCGTATCAAAATTGGGTTATCAAAGTGTCACTAGATGCTCTAACTCATTGCATATGCATTTAGGATCTAGTGGAGTGCTAACACCCTTAAAAATGTTTATGAAAATATGCTAACACATGTGCACAAGGTGATACACTTGGTGGTTAACATATTTGAGCAAGGGTAGGAAACTTCATCGGTGGAGTGTCCGCCCGTAGAGTGTGGACAGTCCGACGGTGCCACCGGCGCCCTAGATAGAAAAGACAGAGGTCACTATAAGTGACCGGACGCTGGTCTCGGTAGGACCGGTGCGTCCGGTCAGGTGGAGCATGAAGACGCTAGCGTCGGTCTCTGACCAGACGCTGGATCACTTAGTGACCGAACGCTGGAGGGTTGCGTCCGGTCCTGCTGACATGGCAGCGCACAGAAGAGTCACCGTGTGACCGGACGCTGGGCGAGTCTGGTCGAGCATGACCGGACGCGTCCGGTCGTGAAAAGTCGTCTCTGGATGCTTACTGGAAACGACCGGACGTTGGGGTTCAGCGTCCGGTCACTTTGAGCTGCTGCGTCTGGTCATCACTTGACCGTTGAGATCGGGCGATCGACATTTGAAGAGAGGGGACACGTGGCACGCATCGCGTGACCGGACGCTGAGGTCTAGCGTCCTGTCAATATGACTGGAGCATCCGGTCACCCTATGTTGTGCCCAGTGAAGGGGTACAACGGCTCTATTTCGTGGGGGCTCCTATTTAAGCCCCATGGCCGGCTCAAGCTCACTCTCTTGGCCATTTTGTATTGACATAGCAACCTTGTGAGCTTAGCCAAAGTCCTCCCACTCATCTCCATCATTGATTCATCATATTTGTGAGATTGGGAGAGAATCCAAGTGCATTGCTTGAGTGGTTGCATTTAGAGGCACTTGATATTCGTGTTTCGCTGCAGGATTCACTTGTTTCTCTTGGTGGTTGCCACCACCTAGACGGCTTGGAGCAGCGGTGGAGGATTGGCACGAGTTGGTGATTGTTCGTGGCCATCTCCAGTGATTGTGAGGGGATTTGTACCTTCCCCAACGGAGCGCCGAAAGGTAACCATAGTGGATTGCTCGTGCCATTGAGTTACCTCACTTGTGGGTAGGTTCTTGTGGTGTCCAATTGTGTGGACGAGGTTCGTGCAACACCTCTTAGCCGCCGAACCACAAAGTGTTGGTCGACACAACAGGGACGTAGCGTGTTGGCAAGCACGTGAACCTCGGGAGAAAATTGGTTGTCTCTTGCCCTTTGGTATTCTTTCGGTGATTGATTTAGTATTCATCTTGTGATTGGTTCACTCCTCTACACGGTGGTATAATCATCCTACTCACTCATTTATATTCTTGCAAACTAGTTGTAGAAGCTCTTTAGTGTAATTAGAATTGGGAGCTTGCTTTGTTGTTTTAAGTTCATCTAATAGAGCTCTTTAGTGTAGCAAGTGTGAGAGCTCTTAGTGAGTAGTAACATAGCAAATTGTGTGTCTAGTGATCATAGCAACTAGAATTGTTGGATAG